TTCTCATTGACCAGCAACCGGTTCCTATCATCACCTACGCCGAGTGCGTGTTCACCGGAATCGTCGACCCAGAATCAACCGGGTTCGCGCCAGTTTTTGATTGCTAGTGCATAAGTGTATTCATGAAAAATAGATGAAACACACGTTTGTAAAATGCTGTTTTTTTAATTCGTCCCAGCGATCGCAATGACAAGTCACGTTACATTACAGGAGCTTAGTAGTGAGGTGGGCAGAGTGTGAACTAACAAGGTAGGTGTACGCCGGACCGTGTCTTGTCGTAACAGGCTTCGCGATGCTGCACCAGTTTCGACAATCCACGCCTGGCGTATGCACCTACCTTGGCCAGCGGCGCCAACCTGCCTTCGGCAGGCTGCCTTCTTAGGCAGACCTTTGAAATGGGCGTGATCCCCTCAAAAATAGTCCTTGGTCATCAAAATCTACACTACTGGGACTTCACTTTCGGTCGGAGGTCCGAATGGGTTCTATTGTCGTCATCAGCAGCCTCAAAATCATATAAAACGACATGAAACTTGATAAAAAGTTAAAAGTGCCTCAAAAGTTGTCTTTTTTTCTGCCGTTTTGGAAGTGTTTTTTGGCTAATATGATCGAATGGATTGAGATAGAAAGCTGAATTTTGGTGTGTGGCGAGCCAAGAACATACCTTGAGGGGTCCTATTCAAAAGATCTTATCTGGGCGCTACTATTCAAAGAATCTTATCTGCAAAGCAAGCGAATTTCAACAAGTTTGATCATTTGAGGCAGCTACAAACCAAAATAGTTTGGGATTGTAGTTACACAAAGTTGCAGATGAAAGATCGAAGAAATTAATAGTGCGTGTAGAAATATGTTCCACTTACCCTCTTCTCCGTCCCAAATGGTCAAACTTAGTAAAATTCGCTTGGGTTGAAGATCGGATTGTTTTAATTGGAGCGCCCAGATAAGATCTTTTGAATGGGGGCCGTCGACATAATGACCCTGCAAAATCTCAGGCAGATCGGCCGAGCCGTTCAGGGGGAGTAGTGCGCGCGCACACACACAGCCACACGCACACACACACGCACACACACACGCAGACAGGACATTTTTTTAACCCCACTGGAGTAACAGGCTTCGCTATCGCTCAGCCAAAAATGAACTGAGAAAAGCCGGTTTTTATTGTAAGAAATCGGACACGACTTGTGTTGGCACTTAAAAAAACATCAAAGTTACACAAAGGTTTCCAAGTCTAACTCCTCTTTTCCAGTTGGCCTGAGCTTCTTGAAGTCTTCCAAATACGACCGACACGCGTCCTTGACATTATCATGTTCATCCTCACGGCAGAATACCTGTAAACCATCGGGAAGAAGAGGGTTAATATCACAATGCGGGTGAGAGTTCTGAGGCTTCAACGAGGTCGGTCCGAATCTCACACAGGCGTGAGGTGACGTTTTCCAGACTACTCTAAGTAACAACCAGATCAGAGAATCAGGGGTAACGCTTTTATTTTCTTCAAATGCAGCAATCCCATACCTCCAATTCCATCCTGTTATTTACAACTGCGGAGAAAATGACACCATCACCGCTGCATCCCAGTCTTATCAGGCAAGACTTGTGAAAGTGTTGCTGAAAGAAAACAGAGTAAATTAATTCAACAGTCTGCGGCCTATTTAGTAATTTTAAAACAAGTGCATAAATTCCAAACTTAACGTACAACATCTGATGGATGATTAGAAGCAATCACTTTCAACGACAGGTCATGAACAATGACAGGCCTGCTGTCTTCGAAATCACATGAGGAAAACTGGTCGCACAGTTGTTTTGAAACAGAAATTCATTGAATTAGGGATGCTGCAAATTCAAGTAACCACATGATGCCATCTGAGTTCCTACCATGAGCAGATGAAACACTTTGATAAGGAATTGATGGAGAGCTTTGCAGGGAACTGCCTCGTCACCAGATTCGAGTCGAGGAATTTGATCCATGAGACTATCAGCAGAATCTTTACCTACGGTAAAACACTCAAATGTGAACGCTAACATCTTTCACGACATAACCTCATGAATTCTTGAAAATATGAACTGATTTTTAAGAATAGCGTCCCTTACCACCTGGTCTACACTCAATGAGCTATTTTACGATTCAAAAAAGAAAAGAAGACCGGGGCGGTGCGGGTGGGTGGGGTAGACGTCCTCCTTTCTTCTTCTTATACGTAAAATAGCTCATTCCAATGCTCTGCTGCCTCTCGAGCACAGATAAATTCCTACAAAGAACTGCTCGTTGTAATTCAAAGGAAACGGAGGCATTTTGTTTGTAATATAAGGATAAAATCCCCAAGGCGTTCCGGATGCAGCCGCATCTGCCCATACTCGCCCGCATCTTCCCGCATTCCGGCTCGATCCTCGACCACCCGCTTATGATGCGCCACGAAAAACCTGAACGTTAATAATTGGTCAAAAATATGCAAAAATAATTACCTTTTTAGCAACTTCAAAAATGTGCACAAGCCAAAGTAATCGGAATTTCGGGGTGGGGTTTGCGGCATTCGACTCGGGATGAATAGCAGAAAAATAAGATAAAATAAAAGAGAAGGCAAAAATTTGACGATTTTCACTGGTGTGCCCCCTTAAGTGACTCGGTTTAGGGCAGGCTGATCTGAAGCATTCGACGGAGAACAAGTTTTGTCAAATTCAGTGAATCGTCTCATGAAGTCAAATGCAGAGGCCACTTAGTGCTCAATACGCCAACATAATTTATCTTGTTCATGTCTCGTGATATTTTATCTTTGGAGTAAAATATGACAATATAGTATTAACCCTGGGCATTGGCCTTACATTCAGAGAGCTAGCTTTTAAACCAATACCAATACTTAGTTCCAGTTGTCGGACACTAATTTTGGTGAAGTGAAAGGAATCGTCTCATTAAATCCGATTACCAAGCCACCTAACACTCAAAACCTGAATCGTCTCATTGCACCCAATATCAATTCAAAATTTGTTAGCACTAAATATATGGATTATTTATTGCACTAAATCAAGAACTAAATCGCCACGGCGCACCGGCAGGCCTGACGTTCGTCGGCATTCTGGGCGCACCGGTGGTCCGACGGCGACCCCTGACGGGTTCCTGGTAGCCCAGGAGCACCCCAACGCAGTGCCCTAGTCGAAAGTCCCGGTCACCCAAGCAAAACGCAGCCAGAGGCCAAAGCTGTTTTGGCCTCCAACTAACAAAATTGCTTTGACGGACTCCTTGTGGTACGTCGTCGTTTCTCCGGAACCGCTTGTCCTAGAGCGTCGGCGACCTCGGCGTTGGACTCCCCGTGTCCTGAGGACCTCGAGGACACCACCAGGGACTACCTGGGTGGTGGCGACAACGGTGTTGAACCGTGTGGCGGCACAGCACCCACGTTCGTCGGTATCCTGGGCGCACCGGAGGTCCGACGACGACCGCTGGCGGGTTCCCGGTAGTCTAGCACTACCTCAACACGATGCTGAAGTCAAAAGTCCCGGACACCCAAGTGGAACGTAGCCAGAGCCCGATGATGATTTTGGCCTCCGACTAAAAAGTTGCTTTGACGGACTCCTTGTGGTACGTCCTCGTATCTCCGGAACCGCTTGTCCTAGAGCGTCGGCGACCTCGGCGTTGGACTCCCCGTGTCCTGGGGAACTCGAGGACTCCAACGGGGACCCCCGGGTCGCAAATCCGTGGACCTCGGCGTCAAGGCCTTTATTTCCAGACATTATCTGGAAAAATTTATTTCCAGATATTATCGGGAAATGCCGATTTTTTTCCAGATATAAATATCTGGGATTTGACTATTTCCAGATATTATCTGGAAAAACTAGACATTTCCAGACAATATCTGGAAAAATACCGCCATTTCCAGATAATATCTGGAAGTGCGAAAAAATATCTGGAAATTTCCAGACATCGGTTTCTTCACCGTGGACTGACTGACTCACTGACTCACTAATAGAAATGTTTGGGGTCAAGGAGTGGTCGTAGAGACTTGCGGTTTTTAGGGGTTCCCAAGAACCCCTATTGTCCGAGGTCCGTGGATTCCTCCCCCCCCTCTTCGATTTTCAAATAAACAACGCTAAACTATTTCAACTATAAAAAAAACGAAAATTCCAAATTTTTTCGAAAATTCATCGTGGAAATTTTCCGTAAACGCGAAAAACATAAATTTGCAACAATCGAAAACCAGAACCGTTCATGATATGAAAAAATGGTTCAAATAAAAAATGTACCACTCCTCAAAACTAAGCCTCCTGGCTCATCAAAGTGACAAGAAATTGTCTGTGTTCTGAGAAAATGGTTAAAACATGAAAAAAAAATCGCCATGGCAACGACACGACACCATCATGCCAACTGTCAAAATTTAAAGTGACCCATCAAAAGAAATCAACACGCCGTGAAATTCGAAAATGCCAATGCTAGCGCATTGCACTGTGTCCTGACATTGGAACATCTTTGAAATCCGTCATTGGTAAAACGTTCGTAGCAGAAAAGACGCAATAAATTAATTTTCGTGGGTTGGCAACACTTTTCTCGGTGTCTGCGCCCTTTCGAAAATCGCGAGACTGAAAAAACGAGTAGTCGCGCATTGAAACCCGTATGGCCCGAGACGACGTAAGTCAGGCGTTATTTTGTCGTTTCGGTATGACAAATATACGGTCAACCAACGGCTTAGAAACGATCAGGCCACGAGAAAAGAACGACAAAATCACGACTAACGCATCGTTCGTAATTTTGTCGTTTTCGCACGATTCGGCTGTCATTAAAACGGCACTTTTTATGCCAAAGAAACGACAAAATTATTGCCTGGCCTCAGGGCCCTCCCCAGCGGTGCAACGCTACAGTTCTCATACCTAGAAGACGTGCCCAAAGGGACGCGATGGGTATGCCTCCAAGCCCCAACCAGACCCCCCACCCTCTCCGAACTGTCGTGTTTCGATTCTATCGATTGTGTCTACTCGAGAACCGAGGTGTAATGTGAATGTGAATTCGAATAAAGAATCAGTTCAACAAGTAACTCCAGTGTCTGCAGTTCTCTCTCCCCATCCGGTCACGAACTCTGTCCGAGTCTAACCAAGTCAAACACAACAACTGGCGACGAGGAAGAACAATCAAGAAAATTCGTCTAGTCAAATAGGATGGGAGATGCACTGCCAGGGGCCGAAAATCTACGAATCATCTTCCCTTTGCGGACTTTCGACCCTGATGAAATCTCGTGGTCAGGCTGGTATCAACTCTTCACTGAATTCTGCCGGCTCAACAGAGTGCCAGCCGAACCAGCTGCTGTGCCTCCAGCCCTTGTCGGTGCCCACAATGCTCGAAGATCAGCCTTTATTCATCACATTGGTCCACGGGCCTTCGAGCATCTCAGGATTTCGTGTCTGCCGCTGGAGCCAAGTACTCAGAGCATCGCCACGTTGGCAGCTTTCCTGAAAGCGAAGTATGAGCCACAGGGTCTGCACACCGTCAATCGTGTGCATTTCCATCAAAGATGCCAGAAACAAGGTGAGACCGCCCATGACTTCATTTCTGCCCTGCAAGTTTTGGCGGCAAAATGTAACTTCGGTAACAACCTCTTCGACACGTTGCGAGACCGCATTGTCACGGGCATCAGGTCAAATGAGCTCCGCATGCGCATGTTGTCAGAAAACAACTTAACCTATGTACTTGCACGTAACATGGCAATTCAAGACGACATTTTGCGTGAGCAAACGCGTACATTAGCGCAAGTTCAGAGCAATCAACATGTGAATTTTGTCTCGAAGAAGCCGAAGAAACAGTCTCACGCTGGTCATCAGTCTCATCAACAGAAACAGTCAAATGCCAGTCATCAGTCAAATCAACATGCTTCCAAGTCTTCATCAAGTGGCTCTGATTCCAAATGGAATCCTTGCTTCCGCTGTACTCGACGTCATGATGGCCGCAACTGTCCCGCCATCAACTGGACCTGCCATAGTTGTGGAGGAAAAGGACATATCTCAAGAGCATCTTCGTGTCCCAAGAACCGCAACAAGAGGTCCACCCCAGTCAACGAGGTTTCTTCGAAACCACCAGAGCCCAAGTCATTGGAAGAAGAGGTCGCTAACCTGATTAAGTGCTCCCAGGTAAAATAGTGCCTTTAATTTGATGTTGAAATATTAATTGACTTGCTAGTCCACGAACTTCTTGAAATAGTTCTAATGCTTGTCTGTCTTTGTGTGTTGTACGTTCTTTTGGGCGTCAACTGTCTTTAATGTCTTGTCTTTGGTGATTGATTCGCCACTATGTGCACATAGGTTAAGTCTAGTTTAATTTAAGGATCCTTATGTCATGTCATGTCATGTCTTGTCTTGTCGTAATCAAAGTTTTGTAAATAATTGTTTTAGGATGTCAGAGTCATCTTTATTAACGAGGTGTCACAGTCCCCACCCCTTCTCGTGTCAATGTCAGTTAATGGAAAGGAACTGGAAATGGAAGTCGACACAGGTGCTGGAGTTTCTCTTGTGAGTGTTACGGTTTATCAGAACCTCTTTAGTTCAGTGCCTTTGTCACCTGCACCTGTTGTGTTACGATCTGTAACTGGTGTCATTAAGGTTTTTGGTCAAATTGAGGTGTCTGCTTCCATTGCCAATCAGTCATGTTCCAATCTTACTTTGTATGTCTGTGAAGCTGTGTCTCCTGTCAGGTCACTGTTAGGTAGACCTTGGCTTGATGTCTTGTTTAAAGGGTGGAGAAACTTTTTCTCAATCCCAGTGCATCATACTTTGTTCTCAGTTCAGGAACGAGTGTCTCAGTTTGCTAATATGTTCCCAAATGTGTTTGATGTCAATAACGATGCACCCATTTCTCAATTCAAAGCTTCTCTTATTTTAAAAGATGGTGTTCAGGATAAGTTTGCTGCTGCATATTCTCTACCTTATTCCTTGATTGATGTAGTTGGTGATCTGATTGATAAACTGGTCAAGTCACATAAAGTTTTCTCAGTTGAGTATTCCACCAATGCTTCTCCATGTGTTCCAATTAAAAAAAAGTCTGGTGGTTATCGTTTATGTGTAGATTTTAAGCGAACCCTCAATACTCAACTTCATGTTAATCAGTATCCTTTGCCTAAGATTGATGACATTTTTGCTTCAATCCCTAATGCAGCTTGTTTCTCTGTCATTGATCTCAGTGATGCCTATCTACAATTAGAATTAGATGAAGCATCAAAACCTTATGGCACTGCCAACACCCACAAGGGGTTGTTTCGCTACAATAGGTTAATCTATGGTATTTCTAGTGCTCCTTCAATCTTCCAGCAAACTATAGATAATATTTTGAAAGGTGTTCCTGGTGTCAAAAGTTATCTTGATGATATACTAGTCTTTGGTGATAGTTTTGATCAATGCTATGGTAGAACATTGTCAGTGTTACGTAAGTTGTCCAGGTTTAATGTCAAAGTTAATGTTTCAAAGTGTGAATGGTTTGTAGATAAGGTTGAGTACTTGGGTAACATCTTGTCTAAGGAAGGTAGGAAACCATCTCCAGCTAAGCTTGAAGCTGTCCTTAAAGCTAGGAAACCTACTACCAAATCTCAAGTTTCAACTTATCTTGGTCTTTTCTCGTATTACTTGCCATTCTTACCTAATTTTAGTGCTGTGTCTAAACCTCTCAGGGAAATGTCTGATCCACTGGTATGGACCCCTGCTGCTAATGCAGCCTTTGATAATTGCAAGAAGCTATTAGCTTCCAGTGGTGTTCTCATGCATTATAACCCTGATCTCCCTATTGTTGTCATTTGTGATGCAAGTCCAGATGGTCTGGGTGCCATTCTGTGCCATGAAATTGTTGTTAATGGTCGGGTTGTCGAGTGTCCCATCTTTTTTGCTTCATGTGCCTTGACTCCCACCCAACAAAACTACTCTTAAATTGATAGGGAAGCTCTAGCAATTATGTTTGCCATTAGAAAATTTTTCAAGTATTTGTGGGGCCGTAAATTCAAACTTGTCACTGATAATGCTCCTCTAAAGCACATTTTAAGCCCTGATAAGTCTATTCCTGTCCTAAGTGCTCAACGTTTGCAGCATTGGTCTTACATTTTGCAAGCCTACCAATTTGAAATTGTGCATCGAAGTGGTTCTTTGCTCTCTCATGTTGATGCTTTGTCCCGTTTGCCCTGTGATGAGTATGCTCCGGATGATTTGGAAGTGTGTAGCATTGCTAAGGATTTGCCTTTGAACTCATCTATTATTTCAGATGAGACTAAAAAGGATTCGGTGTTGCAACATGTTTTGTTTCAAACTAAAGTTGGTTGGCCAGTTGTACCTAAATACTTGCCTGAAATTGTCAAACCCTTCTTCAAGTTTCGTGATCAACTTAGCCTTGAAAAAGGTTGTGTCTTGTACAATGCTCGTGTAGTCATCCCTGCTTCTCTTCAGTCTAAAGTGTTGGACATTCTTCATGAGGGCCATGCTGGTATTGTGCGTATGAAAATGTTGGCGAGAACTTCTGTTTGGTGGCAAGACTTATCTCGTGATATTGAAACTAAGTGTGATTTATGTAACTCCTGCTCTATGGTCAACTTTAAAAGGTCTCATGATTATGTTCCATGGCCTGAGGCTAAATCCCCTTTTGAGAGAGTCCACATTGATTTTGCCACCCTGTGTTCCAAACATTATTTTGTCTTTGCTGATTCATTCTCTAAATGGATTCATGTGCAACGAATGTCTTCCATGCGAGCAATTGATGTAATTGTTGTTCTCACAACTGTCTTTAGTATTTTTGGTGATCCAATGTCTATTATTAGTGATAACGGTCCTCCCTTTGACAGTGTTGAATATGTTGATTTTTGTACTTCAAGAGACATTGTTGTGTGCCACTCCCCTCCATATCACCCTGAATCAAATGGTTTTGCGGAGAGGGCTGTCCAGATTGCTAAGAAGTCTCTCGAGAAATTGTTGCTTGATTCTCACAACAATACTCCTGATGATAACACTTGTGATTTAATTGTTAATAAGTTCCTTACTTCATACAGGAACACTCCCACTACTACGACTCTCAAAGCTCCTAATGAGGTCTTGTTGTCTTTTAAACCTGTAACTAGTCTTTCTCGTCTCCTTCCTAACTTCAGGTCGGAGTCTGCTAAGAAATCTGAATTTCGTGATGGTGAATCTGTTGTTGTGAAATTGTCTAAGAATCATCCTCCAGTTAAAGGAACCATAGTGCGGCGTCTGGGCCCGACCCGCTACCTTGTATCTTTTGAAGGAGTCCTTCGTAAGCCTCACATAAATCAGATGAATCACTCCTATGAATTAGTTCGTTGTGTCAACTTCACTGCCTGTGATTTTGTTCTGTGATAACCTAAGTTTTTAAAGTTGTCTTTTGTCATTTGTCAAGAAAGTCTGTCTTTGTAATTTGTCAAGTTTATCTATATTTTCATTGTTAACTTATTTTTAAGAGTCTTTTAAATTATTGTGGGGGAAAGGTGTCGTGTTTCGATTCTATCGATTGTGTCTACTCGAGAACCGAGGTGTAATGTGAATGTGAATTCGAATAAAGAATCAGTTCAACAAGTAACTCCAGTGTCTGCAGTTCTCTCTCCCCATCCGGTCACGAACTCTGTCCGAGTCTAACCAAGTCAAACACAACACGAACCTAGCGCGAACCGCGCATGCGCACACCGCGTGGCGCGCAGCCCCATCCCTGTTCAATTTTCTTTGCTCTGTTTCTATTTTCTGAGAGGGTGAAGCGGGAAAATTATTTGTATATAAGTAACTGCAGTAAACTTCAGTATTTATTTTTAGTTTTCTATCCCTTTTTTTCATAAACCAAAATACATTTATAAATATATTTATAGATATAATATATGAGAAAAGCAACAACTTAACAGATACCATCACAGAGAAATGCTTAAGGTTACTGTAAGGTGAAAAAACTATCTTCCAAAGTATAGGTGGCAGTACTTTGGTTTTTGGTGATTTAGTTGCTTACTATGAAAAACTTTTACAGCCACAGACTGGACTCCCAACTCCCATTAGTTCCAAAGTTATGAGGGTTTTAGTGTTATTTTAGTCGTTTACTAAAAATTCTCCTTGCGATGAACCAAAAAGTTAACGGAGGTGTGATTTTTTTATTTTGAGGCCCAATGGACATGCAAACAGACTAGCAAAGCCGGATTCGACAATATATGCATAGATAAGCTGTAAATTCTGTTTGAAAAATGCGTTTTGAATTTTTTACTTAAATTTGGTAAAATTTTGGTATTTTTTGGTGTTTTATTGCGTTTTTTGAGAAAAATTCCTGTTTCATGTTGGAATTTTGGAAATCCGGCTTTGCTACGAGATAGGCAAATCAATAAAGAACTTGTAAAACAAAAATCAAGTCTCGACAACTTTTGGTTCATCGCAAGGAGAATTTTTAGTAAACGACTAAATTTGTTACGTAAACTTCAATTACTCAGAAAATAATGGGAGTTGAGTGCCTCAACTTTAGGTTTAAGTTCATCTTATAGTAAGCAACGTGAAACCTAAATACAAACATAATGCCACAATTATTTTATAAAATGATATTTCACATTTTTTCACTTTACAGTAACCTTAAATAAACAAAAATAAACTATAAATTTTCTAACAAACATAGAAAAGAAAATATTTATATCACGATTTATACTTCAGAAATTACCATTGTGAAAAAGAAAGAACTGTGGAGGATGAATGGGAATTGGTGGGTCGTGAGTATTGATGATCTGGTGTAACTGGCTTTAATTGTACAAAATATGGTGAGTGAGGAGTAGTGTCGGAGCGGGATGAGCCTGGTAGTGGTGAGGATGTGGATGCAATAAAATTTTGAGATGTGGGTGTGGGATTAGAAATTTGAGATGTGGGTGTAGAATTAGGAGATGTTGGTGTAGAAAGTTGAGATGTTGAATGACGTGTAGTAACTGGAGTTGAGGGTTCAGATCGAGGGGCTGATGTGGAAGAAACAATCCTCCTCTTCTTCTGCTTCGCATTGCTTAAGATATTGGCCAGTTTACTTGATGCTTTAAAATTCATGTTGTTTCTATCACCGCCTCGTGCCATGAAAACTTGTGTTGTGTACACTGCAAAAAAAGAAGCATTAATGAAGCACTGCTCGTGTGTAAAATTGATCAACAAACTTTTCACAGAGTACTTACGTAGCAGGGTCTCTGTAATTTCCTTTGGCACTGCCACGCAGTTCCTCTTTCCAGTCACAGAAACTCCATCGACACCCTTGAGAGGCTCCAGGGCCAAATTGAGCAGAGCTTGATAATGCTTGGAGGGCTCATCTCCCATGTCTTGGCGCAATACTGCCACTTTTCCACTGTCCAGAAATATTCCTCTGTCTTTCAGAATTTCTACCTGCAACAAAAACATAGGTATAAAGGTTTTTTGTCATTCAAATTAATCAACCTCAGTTATGATTGCTTACTGTCAATGGCCGGTTTTGGAAACATGGAAGATTTTGAATTTTGTTTCTGATTTCCTGCAATTCCTGCTCGGATCTCTGCTTGGGAAGTCTGGAAACTTGCTGTTCTGTGCATGACAAGGAAACAAAATTTTTTACATTAAGCGTTAGAAAGCTGGCATGGACAGAACCAAAAGCCACAGTTCAGAGACATAATTAAGAGACAAAAACACAAAACCCCATTTTAAAAAAATGATTACATACGTGGTCCATTTTGAAGAAGATCCTCTGCAATGTCCTGCAAGATGTTCTCTTGGGCATGGATTTGAGAGGATCGTATTTTGGCCAATTCCCTTTTTCTACTCAGAAGGCCTGGGCCATTCGCCACGATTTTTCCTTCTGTGTTGACAATCAGCCGTTCGAGCATGATTTTGGTTCCTAACAGAAAAGCAAAAGAACAGCTGACTTTAACAAACTTGTCATCAACCATTGAGTATTTTGGGGTGAGGTAGGCTATTTATAGAAACTTAGACAACTTACCTGAAGCCAGCACCTTCCCCATCGTAATTTCATAAATGTGTTTTTTTTTCACAGTGCATTTCAACCATTTAAACTTTAGAAAGCTGTCTACAGCAATTTCACGATCCTGTTCTTCTTCCAAGATTTCATCAAAAATAATATTATCATGTCGAACGGTATCGACAGCCGGCGGGTCCGATGAAAACATAAGGTAGAAACGTCCCATTGTTCTACAATGATTCTACAATGAACTTGTAAGAAGTAACAAAACTACTAAATTGCAGATCTTCACAGAATTCTTGCTCTTGTCATGTCGTTTCGTAAAATGGGACGCAGAAGTAAACAAACCTCTTGGAGACAGGGCACCCAAACTAAGAGGCACAATTCGAAATATGAAAAGACAGACTTTTGATTTTTTTGGGCCGCATACTAAAAAGAAATTGTTGATTATAATACTTTTTATGGCATTATGCGTTAATATTACTATGCTGGATGAATTAAGCATATATTGTATCCCGTGAACAATGTTTCATGTTGGCAATAGGCGCTGCCTGCTGAATCACTCCAAGAATGAAGCGCGCTCCGTGTGCTCTCTCTCTCTCTTTCTTTCTCTCTCGCTCTCCTTTGTTGTTTTGACGACGAGCCGGACGGCGGCGAAAAGGACACAAACTAATGAATTAGAAAGTGGAGTGGCTGTTAAGTAAGTCCACCATGGAGGAAGATAAAACCTCGCGAAGATTAAAAAAGGCGAGAAAAACATATCTACAAAGTGCAGGAGACAGCGCATTGATGGAGTTAGACGCCGGGTAAGGTTATGTTTGTTTCGATACGCCCGTGTGCCTTCTGAGCGTGTAAGTGCAAATTTGAAATAATTTATTTAAATACTGATTCACAGTGCGTTAACCGAGGAGCTCAACATGGATAGCTTCACTGAAGAGATGGATGCAGAAAGTATTTCTGAATTGCCTCATTGTGCCCTCCCCACCCAAGGTAAACAATTTTATTGTCAATGTTATTCACAGGGCCTTGTTTAAGTGGTCTCACAATGTCAAATTTCTGTAGGATTTGTTGAGCCAAGCAGTAGCAGCAGCACCTCAATGTCCAGAAGTGTTACCTCTGTTTCGTCTGAAGTGCTGGGTGACGCTTCTATGGAACTAGGTTTCCAGCATGAAACATTGATTAATCCGTCTCAGTTATCTGAAAAAAACAACGACTGATACAGCTGCTATTGTTGAAAGCGGTGATCCTAAAGGTGAGTTTTTTTTTATCTTCTGTTTGACTTTAACTGTTACTCTGTTAAAACACAATAATAATTTAGGGCAATCATTATTCAAAATGTTCTATATTCTGTTTCCATTTTGTTATAGACATATTGACTGACAATGCTGAATTTCAAGAGCCAGTGCAAGACCCCGTGTTTCCCTCAAGGTTTGCTGAAGAGGAAGACTTTGGAGAGGATTTCCATCATGAGTTGTTTACTGAGGAACCCTTGGAAAAGGCCCCTGATGATCCTATTTATGAAGGAGCTCCCATTACTCTTGGAGAGAGTATTGCAGCTGTTTTGTCTTTTGTGCAATCAGAGCACATTAGCGGTGTTGGACTTGCAGGGTTGCTCTCACTTATATCTTTGCATCTTCGGAAACCAAATAACTATCTGAAATCTACACGGGAATTTTTTAAACTATTGGAGGATAGGGAAGAGCCCCTTAGAATTTCTTACTATTGCAGTTTGTGTTTAAAAAATCTACCCTCCAGTTCTAGCTTGTGTACTACTTGCACGGATGGTAAAAAAACTGTGAGTTACCTCATCCATTTCCCTCTTGAGCGTCAAGTGCAAAAAATGTTTAGCAGGCCTGGGTTTCAAGATGACTTAAACTACAAATTCAGAAGAGTGAAGAAAAATATTAACAACATCGAAGACATACTTGATGGACAGGCATATAAAAATGCAGAAGTAGAGCCCGAAGTAGGAACCACTGATGTCACAATGACTTGGAACGCAGATGGTTTGCAGGTTTTTAATAGCTCCACATTTTCTATATGGCCATGCTTTCTTATCATCAACGAATTGCCTCCCAGTAAAAGGTACTACAGTGAGAATATGTTAATTGGTGGTATTTGGTGTGGTATGTCAAAGCCTCATCCCAATATTTTTCTCCAACCGATCTATAATGATTTAAAAGTTCTACAGAGTGGTATCAGAATTAGTGACAGTCTCAAAGTACGTGCAAAGCTTATCTGTGGCACTTGTGATGCTCCTGCAAGGGCGTACTTTTTAAATATGAAACTGCATTCGGGTTTTTATTCCTGTCATCTATGTTTGACGAAAGGTGAATACTCAGCAGCTATTGGAAAGTTAACTGTTTTTCCATATGAAGAAAATCCTCCACCAAGGACAATGGAGTTGTACAAAGAAAATGTAAAATTTGCAGTGGAGAAGAAAGTTGTTGAGAAGAAGAATAAACATCTGCTTAATGATATACGGTGCTGTGGCATAAAGGGTCCTACAGTGTTATCTCATATGATTGATGGTGATTTATTTCTTTCTACAGCGATAGATGCAATGCACTGCGTTTATTTAGGTGTAACCCGTCAATTGCTTGGCCTTTGGTTTGATGCGGAGCACAGAGACTCGCCCTTTTCTGCCTATCAGCACGTGAAACTTGTCAATCAGAGACTGTTAAATATTATGGCACCACATTTCTTTGATAGGGCTCCAGAGTCAATTGATAAGCTTGTTCATTGGAAAGCCTCTATGCTCAGGGCTTTTTTGTTGTACTTTTCTGTATGTGTTTTAGCTGATGTTCTGAAACCCAAGTATTTTGAGCATTTTTTATTACTTGTCAAAGGCATTTCGCTTTTAAATTCATCAAGTATCAGCCAAGATGATATTAAGTTAGCTACTCTTCTTTTAGATCAATTTGTGGAGGAGTTTCAAACTCTGTATGGTAAACGGCACATGAGCCACAACGTCCATATGTTAAGACATCTGAGTGCCACTGTACAGCATCTAGGGCCACTATGGATCATAAGCTGTTTCAAATTTGAGGACATGAATGGCCGCATTGCTCGACTTATCCATGGAACTCGACATGCTGGCATTCAAGTGTGCTCTAACTTATCAATTATCAATCGTTTACCTTTGATGGTTCACAATCTTACAAATGAGGATGTTAAAAAATATTGTCTTCAGTTAAGACACAAAGGATTGCCATTGAAAGTAACGGAGGAAATTTCACCTGATGTTTTGTGTGTAGGTGACTTTACTCATTTATCTGATGATGATAAGTGGATTGTAGATGAATTAAAACAGGTAGTGTTAAACCCAACTGCAGATGATGTTCGATTATTTCAACGCTTGTATAAAAACAAAATTTTGTACACATCCAGTAAATATGATCGTGGTATGCGAAAATCTGCTCATGTGAAATATTGTAATAATAATACTTTAGAGCTTGGTGAAATTGTAACATTTGTAAAGTTAGTGCAGGAGCAGCCACAATATTATGCTGTTGTAAATAGACTACAAACTTCATATCCATTTCAGACAGATGCCTTCAAAATCACGCATGTGCACCAGGTTCATCTACCCCATGTTGGCATTGATATTGTTCCTGTGAGTAAACTGGAGATTGTTGTGTGCAAAATAGATGTATCTCCAATTGTATATGTCTCTGAGCCTCTCAATAACTTTGAGTTAGAGTAGAAAATAAATAAACAATGGTTCCACAATGTTTGTCAGTATATCTCACTCAAATAAATTTCCCGCTTCACCCTCTCAGAAAATAGAAACAGAGCAAAGAAAATTGAACAGGGATGGGGCTGCGCGCCACGCGGTGTGCGCATGCGCGGTTCGCGCTAGGTTCGGAGAGGGTGGGGGGTCTGGTTGGGGCTTGGAGGCATACCCATCGCGTCCCTTTGGGCACGTCTTCTAGGTATGAGAACTGTAGCGTTGCACCGCTGGGGAGGGCCCTGAGGCCAGGCAATAATTTTGTCGTTTCTTTGGCATAAAAAGTGCCGTTTTAATGACAGCCGAATCGTGCGAAAACGACAAAATTACGAACGATGCGTTAGTCGTGATTTTGTCGTTCTTTTCTCGTGGCCTGATCGTTTCTAAGCCGTTGGTTGACCGTATATTTGTCATACCGAAACGACAAAATAACGCCTGACTTACGTCGTCTCGGGCCATACGGGAACTGCCCCTTCATTGTTGCTGAGGTTGGATTGTTTGGCATGCTTCTAAAGGCTGCGGTTGACTTGTCATGTTTTCCTCAATTCTGTGACCAGCTAAACGGTTGGTTTGACAAACCGCACTCGCACTCCGTATCAAAGGTGTTCTAAAGGAAGGCCCAAAGAGTACCCACCCGTTGAGGGAGAACGATTAGCCGCTTTAGATTAGTCGCAGTTGGTGCCTAAAGTCAGCTCAAACCACGATTTCTGCACGTTTGTTACCGTTTCAACAAACTTTGCTGCAATACCGCTCCCAAACTAAGGCGGCTAATCGCACTCCGTAACAAAGGTGTTTCAAAGGAAGGCCCAAAGAACACCCACCCGTTGAGAGAGAACGATTAGCCGCCTTAGATTAGATGCAGTGGCTGCCTAAAGTCATCCCAAACCACGATTTCTTCACATTTGTTACCGTTTTGACAAACTTTGCTGCAATACCGCTCCCAAACTAAGGCGGCTAATCGCACTCCGTAACAAAGGTGTTTTAAAGTAAGGCCCAAAGAACACCCACCCGTTGAGGGAGAACGATTAGCCGCCTTAGATTAGACGCAGTGGCTGCCTAAAGTTAGGCCAAACGATGATTTCTGGGTGATTCCGTGCGTAGGGGGTCATTTTGGATGTACCAAATGTTCTTTTTTAAAGTTCAACTTTAGGGGCTAAATTTGGTGTAGATGGCATACATAGTACCCCACAGTACCCCTCTGAGCGTGGCAGCGCTACAAGTTGACTTTTATTTTCACTCCCTATGAAATACGGCGGAATTTACAGAAATAATGACGGAATTTACAGATTACGGAATTTACAAAGCGAAGTTTTTAGTCTCCTGAACCGCTGGGTTACAAGATAGGTAAAAACTGTTGACGGTGTCATTTTCAGCATCCAAAATAGCATTTTTCAGCGAAGGTTGTGGGAACTTCCTCCCTCAGATGGAGGAGCTACGGCCCGAAACGGAATTTACATCAATTTTTACACCCTTACCGTTTTGAACTCTTCTGACGGCCTGGAAGAGTCGTTTGACCGCCCCAGGTCCCGTGGGCACGGGCTTCTGGAAGTGTTTTTTATGTTCTTTCGATCCCAAGTGGTCGCGAGTTTCTAAAATGAAAAGGAACCCCAGTAGACCGTCATTTGTAAAAACAGCATAGGTCACATGGTCACACGGTGGACATTTTCCCAAAGGCTGTTTCGGGTTCAACAAGTGATGATACAAAGGTCACCCTCCGTAATTTTGTGAAGAATAAGTCAGGGGAGAGAGTGAAATAGCCAGTTTTCTTTTGATGTGGCTGAATCATATTCTACAGCATGGCAATGTTGTCTTATAGGTGTTGGTGACCATGACGGAACTTACAAAACGACACTTTAGCAGCTTACGAAACCCAGATAAACAAAAGTTAGATCGACTTATCCACATGAGGACATGGTCTTCGTTTAGTAAAACAAATTTGAACTGCCCAAGCTACCAAATGAACCTCAGTTCAGGCGCAAGGCCCCGGTGACCTGAAATGACCCCCTACGCACGGAATCACTCTTCTACACATTTGTTACTGTTTTGACAAACTTTGCTGCAATACCGTTCCCAAACCAGGACTCCTTTTTATTGGTATTTCAAAACGTACTTTTAAACCAGTTATGAAACTGGGAACACCCTGCAATGCGATTAGCATTGGAATTTTTTCCATTCGATTCCAAATTTTATGGGAAAATGGGGATACATCCCAAAAGTTAAAAATTCATCACCGTTTCCGAGCAAACCTACTCAATCTTCAAAAATGGGGACCAAATTCCTCACCGTTTCCGAGCAAACCTACTCAATCTTCAACAAGCTAGGGCCCGCCCTTCCGTCGAACCGAGTTGCCAGCTCCGCTTCGCTGCGCCGGCAACTCGGTTCGACAGGGGGCCGGCCCAGCTTGGCCTGCCGGCGGCCTTTCCTCGGGCCTTCGGCCCTCGCATCAGACCCAACTTGGCCAATCGAAGGCCCGGGCCTCCGGCCCGCTCGCATCACACACCCCGTGAGCGGGTAAAGCAAAGTTATCGATGTACCATCGTGACTTAGGCCCGCCCTTCTATTCACAATATGCAATAGTCCTTCCACTTTTTACTCCAACTGTCCTTAGAATATGCCCATTTCATTTGTCTCTTCGCCCTCATTCCGAAAATACCCATATTTGCCATGCTACTGCAACTCCTTGCAATAGAGGCACAGCAGGAGCGCAAAACGAGTCCGTCGCACTTTTTCCCATAACTCATGAAGGCGGGCTCCTGGACCCCCCTTCCGACCCCTCGTTGAAGAGGTATTGCCAAGACCTATCCAAAACTTGAGTAAAAATTTTCAGTCGGTCGACCCCCTTTTTTCAAGATCCTGATGTGACTAATAGACGAAGTCGGGCTCCTGGACCCCCGTTCCGACCCCTCGTTAAAAAGGTCTTGCTGAGACCAATCGAAATCTGCAATAAAATTTTTTAGTCGGTCGACCCCCTTTTTTGAAGATCCTGATCTGGCCAACTTGTAAAAGCGGCCGATTAGGTCGGGACCAGGTCCATTCATCTTGTCTCGTCGCCCCGATTCCAAAAATACCCCTATGTGCCCTGCTAGCACCAATAATGGCGGAAATCCCCCTCCCGCTCATGTAAACCATGATGCACCTGCAGCAGCCCTTGTGCGACCCGGAAGGGATTTGCACCACCGGATTATTTGTTTGGACGGTACTCCTGAAGTACCCTCCAAATCTGGTTACTCTAGCTCAACTCCTTCCTTGTACACAGACGCCAACAACAAACAACAACAACAACAACAACAACAACAACAACACACAGACACAAAGGCAAATGCATAGGCCCTCCCCCTATTTTTTGAATAGAAGGGCGGGCCAAAAATGGGGACCAAATTCCTCACCGTTTCCGAGCAAACCTACTCAATCTTCAAAAAAGGGGACCATATTCCTCACCGTTTCCGAGCAAACCTACTCAATCTTCAAAAAAGGGGACCAAATTCCTCACCGTTTCCGAGCAAACCTACTCAATCTTCAAAACAAGCTAGGGCCCGCCCTTCCGTCGAACGGAGTTGCCAGCTCCGCTTCGCTGCGCCGGCAACTCGGTTCGACAGGGGGCCGGCCCAGCTTGGCCTGCCGGCGGCCTTTTCTCGGGCCTTCGGCCCTCGCATCAGACCCAACTTGGACAGTCGAAGGCCCGGGCCTTCGGCCCGCTCGCATCACACACACCGTGAGCGGGTAAAGCAAAGTTATCGATGTACCATCGTGACTTAGGCCCGCCCTTCTATTCACAATATGCAATAGTCCTTACACTTTTTACTCCAACTGTCCTTAGAATATGCCCATTTCATTTGTCTCTTCGCCCTCATTCCGAAAATACCCATATTTGCCATGCTACTGCAACTCCTTGCAATAGAGGCACAGCAGGAGCGCAAAACGAGTCCGTCGCACTTTTTCCCATAACTCATGAAGGCGGGCTCCTGGACCTCCCTTCCGACCCCTCGTTGAAGAGGTCTTGCCAAGACCTATCCAAAACTTAAGTAAAATTTTTCAGTCGGTCGACCCCCTTTTTTCAAGATCCTGATGTGACTAATAGACGAAGTCGGGCTCCTGGACCCCCTTTCCGACCCCTCGTTGAAAAGGTCTTGCTGAGACCAATCGAAATCTGCAATAAATTTTTTTAGTCGGTCGACCCCCTTTTTTGAAGATCCTGATCTGGCCAACTTGTAAAAGCGGCCGATGGGGTCGGGACCAGGTCCATTCATCTTGTCTCGTCGCCCCGATTCCAAAAGTACCCCTATGTGCCCTGCTAGCACCAATAATGGCGGAAATCCCCCTCCCGCTCATGTAAACCATGATGCACCTGCAGCAGCCCTTGTGCGACCCGGACGGGATTTGCACCACCGGATTATTTGTTTGGACGGTACTCCTGAAGTACCCTCCAAATCTGGTTACTCTAGCTCAACTCCTTCCTTGTACACAGACGCCAACAACAACAACAACAACAACAACAACAACAACAACAACACACAGACACAAAGGCAAATGCATAGGCCCTCCCCCTATTTTTTGAATAGAAGGGCGGGCCAAAAAGGGGACCAAATTCCTTACCGTTTCCGAGCAAACCTACTCAATCTTCAAAAAAGGGGACCGACCGACTAAAAAATTTTATTCGCCCGATCGGTAGGTCTGGTCGAGACATTTCCGAAACTGTGCCGAAATCGGGTTCCCGCCACCGGCAACATCCTCAAAACGATTACATAGGCCTAAATTCAACAAAATCCACTCAATCTTCAAAAAAGGGGACCGACCGACTGAAAATTTTTATTCGCCCTATCGGTAGGTCTGGTCGAGACATTTCCGAAACTGTGCCACAATCGGGTCCCCGTCACCGGCAACATCCTCAAAACGATTAAATAGTTCTAAACTGACCAAAATGCACTCTACTCAATCTTCGGAAAAGGGGACCGACCGACTAAAAATTTGTATGCGCC